CTGTCAACTTGAAAAATTGTGTCTTCCTTAGAGGGGAGGAAAAAAAAAGCAATCCCTACTATTGTTCCAAACCAGCCTTTTCCAAGAGCAGTAACTAGACGAGAGTAAGGATGTGAACAGGATCATATTTAACTGTCTCTGTTCAGTGGGTTTTCTTTGCATATCTGACAGCACTTTGTGGCGTGTCAGTGTTGCTGGTGTGCACTAGCACTTCCTCGCTCAGACTGGCAGGATGATGCCTCCTGGGAGGTGGGTGTGCAGAATGGTCAGCAACGAGGGGCGATGCTGTCATCCCCGGCCTTGTATTAACAGCAGCAACAAAAGTGAGTGAAAAAGCAACAGAGAATTTGTATATACACAGAGAACAAAGATCAAATATATAGGATGCCATTGTGCTTAGTGCACTGTTTAAAATTGGTTTGTAACATGCCTGAGGAGAAGGAACTCTCCCTCCCTGCCCACCCCCTTCTCCAGAGATGATGTTGAGAGTGCCCTGCTCCCCGCTACTTAAAGACAAATCTATGCAAAACTTGCATTGTCTGAGATGGGCCAGTCTGGCAACATTCCAAGTTGTCGGCATCCCTTTAAATACAACGCCGTTCTTTCCCTTGCAGGTGCCAAAGCTGTCCCCGGAGGAATTTGCATCTAACCTGGCAAAAAAAAAATAGGAAGGGTTCCGACTTCTTTGTGATTAAAATGACTGGCACACTGCAGAGACCCGTCTGCTACTACCATCTCTGCCAGCTTCCCCTAAAATGAGCCCAGCTGCCTCAACCCACGAATGTGTTAGCAGATGAGAGACCTTTTGCTAACCAGTGAGTATTATCCCCTTTCTCTTTTGCTGCTAAAGTGCATGGTTCTGTTCAGGCTATTGCAGGCACTCGATTGCTCCCAGCTTCTGCGAAGGTCAGCCCAGCCTGCCGCTTTCTGACTGGTGAGGGAATAGAAATGGGAGACCAAGCTCGCCATCTCCTGGGGAAAAGGCATTTACGCTTCCAGGAAAGTTTATTTCATTCCTTCCTTTCATTCTCACTCTTCTTTCTTTGTGAAAGACCAAGGCCATAGGAGAAAGCTTAGGAAGCTTGCTGGCTTGCACTGCCAGCTCCGACCCTACTGTGGTCCCTCTCTTCCTGTAGGACTCGGTAAAATAAGAAGACAGTGAATTTATGTCACAGGGCGGGTAAAGGGTTGGCATTTTTGTTATGTGCTTCATATGTACTTCAGCAGCAGCAATGTCAGTAGCAAGACTCATACGCATTAACAAGCCCAGAAAAGAGGTTTACAGAGTGTTGAGCAGATGCAGGAACAGTCAGGTTCTTCCTGTACTTAAAATGGCAAGGACTGTTTAGCCACTGCCACATACGCCCTGTGGAGTACAAGGACATTATGAAAGCTACAGCACATGATCTACTTACTGACTAGTCACAGTGTAACACCTTAGTATGTCTCTTCAAAAAATGATGCCTGTAGTGAGGCTTCTAAGGATACCTATGGATTTTTGAGTGTAACTAAAAAATTCAGGACCTTTTACACATTGTCATCAGGCTTGCTACAAAAATCGCCCTGCTGTAGTTTGTGAGGTCTAATTCACCAGTGTTTGTAATGCAGCTGTAGTGCTTTCAAGAGGGACTGGATGAATGCAAACTGTGAGACTCGTTTGAAAATGCTGGGCAGGATTACCAAATACTGACAGTGGGTAAGCCAAGGTGTTGCATTGTAATGCTACAGGCCTGTGCTAGTACAGTGATATTCCTGACGTGGTTATTGAAAAGTGGTAAAACAACTGGAGACTAAATTACGTAACATTAATCAAGTTACACGTTGGAGGTGACAGTTACTCAATAAGCAAGGCACAAGTGTCCCAAGCATTATTAACCTCTTACATTAAAAACAGAGTGAAAAATCAGCAACTACCTGCACAATGTCTGTGTAGGTGGGGGAAAAATATGTGACAGTGTAATTGCTGTGTACAGAATAAAGTTTCTGACTGAGGGGTCAAGAAGTCAGAAAAGGGTCTCGGGAGGTGGGATTCCTGAACACCCAGTGCTGCCACTGATATATTGCAACTGTAAGCACCTACTTTACCTCTCTACAGCTTAGTGAGATGAACCTTTTAAGGGGTATGTGAGAAAGATTGGTGAATTCATTAAACTGGTTACTTTTGTAGGGGTTATTATGACTCAGAATAACTACAGTTATAAAGCAGCTGAGGAAATTACACTGCTAGATATGTTGTTCCTAGTATCAAGAACTGAGATTAAGCTGGGCTGTTGTGATTTTTAAGAGAGATGATGTTGTTCACTTAACAAGAGAACTATCACAGATTTGTTACCAAAAAAGCCTTTTTCAGTCCTAATCTGGGCAGGGGGTCCCATATATAGTGTTAAATATAAACTCTATTATCTCCAGTGAAAATTAGATACCAAACAAATTGAAACTAACATTTTTTACTTAGGTCAAAACAATTCTAAACCAGATTACTAGTAATGAAAATAACTTGTTTGAAGTGAAATAAAAAAACACCTCAGTTATAAACAAAGCAAAAACTTTGTATAGACGATAGGTTTACAAGAGCCTGAACACACATCAAACCCCACACTTAAACATAGCATAACTATTATACCTTTACCAATCCATCATGAGTCTTGTAAAGTCTTCTACTGTTTAAAACTAACAGTTAAAGATCATTAATTGAAGTGGAAGCTAGGAAGGCATTTTCTTCCTATGTTCTTCTTGCTCTCATTCACAACATCTATACAACTTTTAGCCTGAACACCCTAAAGTACACATTTTCTTGCAGTAAGAGGAAGCAAAATTTTGTTTTCAATAATACAAAGTAGGATTTAATGTTTCAAATGCTTTTTCAACACCTTCACACAGTCAGATCCAACACAATGTCTGAATTGTGAAACTACAATTTGAATTTAACTTGCATACTTGTGTTTTACAAATAAATTTATCACTGTTTTGCTTAGCGTAATTGAGTTACCACTTGATAAACAGTGTACATATAGGAGATGGTTTCTCTGTTCCTCAAATACTGGAATGAAGATGGAGTTTTTGAGCTCCACTTCACAATGAAGGCTTGTGGTTTCCTGGGAGGAGGAGTTCATTCAGGTGATTCACATACTATGACAGCTCTATTCTTTATTAATGTCCTTGGACTATTCTTTTCCAGAAATGAACAACCGTGGTGACCCCATTCAAGGGAGATGCAAACTGTAAGTGAAGAATGGCCACTATGATGCTCAAAGGCACAGAATACAGAGCTTACTAGGCTTAGTCATCAAAAGTGGAAAGGAATTTCACTGCTTCATAAGTATGAGGGAAAATGGAAAGGTAGGAGAGAAGTAAACTAAAGAGGACGGTGCTGGCACAGAAGCGAGCTGATAATAAAGCAGTGCTGAATACGTTTAGGCTAGCCTACCAAATAGCAGCAATTTGTGGAGGGAGGATAAAAATCTAACTGATTTTAAGACACCAGTCATTTTATGAAAAAGATCACATATTATTGACTGCAATAGCAGGCATATTCTTCTCCCTCTGTGTAAGAGTCTCCGTAAGTAGGACTTCAATGTGAAGCACTCTTGCTGGTCAGCTAATGACACTCCTACTCAGCCTCTCTTCTTTTATATAGCTTTTTCTTCAGCTCTTCTGGCAAACATGGTAAGAGCAAACAAGAAAATACCTAACATTTTAAACAAAGATTTGAAGGCAAGCTCTCATAGCCTCCTAGATATTGGGCTAGAAGATACCGGCATCTTCTTGCAGAATGACTTGAGATGTACCCCTTGAAGTCATCAGATGTTTGTCATGCCCCTGATGTAGTGGACAGCCCCCTTCATTAAAGTCTCCATGAGCAACTTTTAGCTACCTGCAGATAGTGCCACTCTGACACAGGAAAAGCCTTTTCAGTTTTAAGTCTTTCTTTTCTTTACAACTATTCTATAGTTGTATAATGGTTTTGTATAAGAACTCTATGCAACTATCAATTCTTCATTTCATTAGGCCCTACAACATTTTGACTATAACTTCAGTATTTACCTCAAGGATTCCCTCCGTGTATTGACTTCCTCAGCTCCTCTAACGCTACGAGTACTTCATTATGCATTACTTACCTCCTCAATGATTCTTACTTTCTAAAGTAAACAGTACAATATAAACTATTTGAGATTTTTTTTTTAAGGCTACGCTCTAAAGGCAACAAGACTTCCTCAAACTGAAGAAGTCTATTACAGATGTTTTTCACAGCCTGAATCTTACGGAACAGATTCTTGAATATCCACCTTCTCCTTTCAGATTTCCCTATTATATATGAAATTTACCAGTTTACCTTGATACTGTACTAAGCGTTACAATCTTTACTCAAAGTAGACCTGAACAAGTGACTTGTCATACATCTCATCTTGATGCGTAAGGTGTATTACACCAGTATCTTTTAAAGGCACAAGCTTCATTTACACTTATACTCTAGCCTGCACTCTGTGGGGACATACAAAATTAACACAGCTCTATAGTTTATGCATACATCTTGAATGATTTCACGTTTCCAAACACAAGAGACAATGTTTTGCGTCTTGAAGGAGAGCCAAATGTTTTATGAAAGGTGGGACTTTGCCTTAAACAAAGCATTTGGATCCAGTCTTCCAGTTTGGAGCATTATAGAAACTCATCAGAAAGAAAAGTCTGAATTTTGTTCATTTTCTGCACTTACTCTTCCACACTTTCAATGCACATATATTTACAAAGTTTTAGGTCAGGGTCATCACCTGCAATACTGTACAGAGCCGGTGGCTGTAGAAAAAGGTGCCCTGAAACTGTATTATAATGAAGAGAAGACAGTTTAAAAGATAAATCCATTTGAACAGGAAACAAAAGATTCCTTTTCAGCAACAAACATGAACATCCATTAAACCAGCCTAGAAACTAGGCACCATCACAAAGGCTGAGGTAACCCAGGACAACATCTCTTCAAGACTGAAAAGGATTCACAAAATCAATTAGCAGTTTGTTTTTTAACCAAATGAAGATTTATACAAACAAACAACAGAACACTTTGGGGAAGTATAGGCACATATTGCCACAGAAGGGTTTTCTACAGTATAGACAATGGCCATCAATTCTTTACTGTCCCGGACGGGTTTTTGTGCAGGGAAGGCAAAGCCCAGAGTACAATAAACCCAAACATGAATTATCTGAACTCCTTTTTTCAAAGAGGAGGAGGAAATTACTTGCTGCTAAAGATGTTCAGGCTAGTCATTTTGTAAATGGTGCTATGAAGCTGATCAGAAGGGAATGCGTTGTAGCATAATTGCCCTATTTCAAAGCATTATCCTGTAATAACAATCTGCAGCATGGCTGTGCTTCATTGAGAGGGAGACAGTGCTACATCCAGCATGCACCTCAGTACATGCACATTCCAGAGAGAAGCACCCTCCTTGTCTGCTAATGCTGGAAGGCAGCCCATTAACCAGCTTGAGCCTTTTAGATCCTAATTTCAGGGCAGAGAGATAGTACTTACTTCATTGGCTGCAGCTATTTGCTATTTCCAGTTATGACCCTTGTGATTAAGCCAAGCTCTGAGCCCTCAAGTGCTTTTCTGAAATGGACACCAGCTTTTATTCAACAACATAGTAGGAAAACACTTTTTGGTATCAGACCAAAGGAATGTTTTAAGTGTCAGCTTTTCAAAAGCTATCTTACTAACTCAGTAAAGAAATATCTTTAATTTTGTTTTGTTAAAACAGAAAACATGTTACACTAGGCTGCAACTTATGAGAGCTGTAGGTAGAGAATACTTCCCTTCCTTGCTGCTGGAATCCATGCCCTGGCGTATTCATTTGTTTGCAACAGCAGAAAGTTGGTCCCGGATCCTTCCTAGACCTTCTAACATAGTGTCCAGGGTTTCTTTGCTCAGTTCCACAGTCAGTGCAGAAACAACAGGACTATTTCCACATAAGGCAACATCTTCCTGAATCTGAAAATAGGAACACAGACATTAGCTGTATGAAAAATTCATTCACGTGTTTTTCCAGTGCCACAACAAAAGTCAGTGTTTAATACACAGATTAAGAAAAATGCCTTAAATTTGGCATCCAGCTCCATCCTGAAGGACCATGGCACATTTTCTAAGCTGTGTGCCTCACTAGCGAAGTGCGGTCCCATTGACAGAGTGCAAGATTTTTTTTCCTCCTACTCTGAAATCCACCCATCCCATCTTTACTGGTTGGGGGATCCAGAACTCTGTAGAATATAAGCAGTAAGTTTAGCTATACTCTCCAAATGATAGATGTGGCCAGTGAAGGAAGTTATTAGTAATCAAAAGTAATTTCTCAACTAATGCAGTCAGCTAAACATGCTGATGAGTGGCTTAGAATTAAAGGGCAATGACTTCATTATTTATCTTCTTTCCTTCTCTAGAGAACAATGGTGACCAGGAACAAATATGCTGCCTTCTCATATCCTCATGCAAAGAAAACTCTCCCTTGCAAGAAAAAGGGCTTCCAGCACAGACATCATTCCCAGGCTCTGTGGTATTTCAAAGATCACCTCTGAGAAACTCTGTTAACTGCCCACCAGGCAATATACAAGCACCAGATGCCTGTCTGAACTGTTTTGCACTACCACTGGCAAAGTCAGGTGTTGGACTTGTTTAATTTGATCCCACATCCTTTACGGCCACTGACATTACCTTTAACTGGAGCAGGCAAGTAGGGACTGCCATTCTGCTGATGCTGTCTGAAGACGTCTTGATGTCCACCCTCCAGTCCATGTCGACCAGCCGAGGCAGGGAGACTGAGGGATTAAAAAATGGGTCTGTTACACCCAGCAGCACATGATCACACCAGACGCTAGAACCTGTGACTACCACCATGTACATGCTTCTCCACTTCTGGCCCTGGGAAGTGTACAGCTTTAGTGCTACTACATGGTTTCACACCATTTTCACTCTACAATAAGCCAGTCTCTGAAGGCCTCCTCATGACACAGGAAGGACAAACAGGGCTCTCCCATCATCACATGCAAGGGTGGCACAGTGCAAGACAAGCATAGGTTAATTCACAAAGCAGGTGGGAGAAGGAGACCAGTAAGATGTCACCTCCACCTCTTCATCCCCTGCCTTGCTGCCTGCAACACTCAACTAGCGTTTTTCATCATGAGTTGCTCTGGGACCTACATGCTTTTTGCTCCGTTCTGTAACGGGTAAGAAAGCACACAGGAATGCTCTTAAAATCCAGCAGTATAAAACATGTTATTTCAGGCTCCCCAACCTGTGAATCAAAGCATCCTGCAGTACAGCATATGTACTGGTAAACTGCAATCTTCACATGTCCTGCCAATTTGTTAAAAATATTGAAGATATCATCCTAATTAATTAGATGTAGCCTAACAGAAATCATTCAACAGTCTGGGGCAATACTGACATCAATAGTTCTGGGCTGGAGACCCCATGAGCCTTCCAAAGGAAAGAGGACAGGTCTGACTTGGCTGCCCTGCCAAGAAATTTGTGTAGCTACCTCTTGCAGAGAGGAGATAGGGATAGTCTCTCATGATAGTGTGCACTTAATGGAGCTTACTGCACTATGAACCCTCAAGAGCCCCTAAACACTGTGCAAACTGGCATAAAAACTGAGATTAAGGTTCTCCCAACAAAACTCTGGCACCAACAGGCTGGCTGCAAGTGCTTTTTGTCAGTTCCTGGGAGCATAATGTTTTTCAACAGTGTCTTTCAGCTGCCAGTAATAAATACAAGGAACATTTGAAGAATATAGTCAAGTGAAACTGAGGCAGGTATTTAGATGAGTGGCATGCAGGTATCTTTCCCCCTTGTTTGAACAAAAAAAAAGTTTCCTACTTTAATTAAAAAAAAAAATACATTTTAACGCAGAAAAAAGAAATAGTATTGACATTTTCACCTCAAATTTACAAGTGTTTTCTCAAACAAACTGCAAACCAGAGGAAAGCATAATTACTTATCCAACCAGATAACAACAGCAAGTGTTAAAAGATGAGGCTTGAACCCTTCGCTGCCCAGTGGTAAAGTGCAATTTACCACCAGAATCCAGAAATTTGGAAAATGTCTGCAAGGTAAATTCCTTGTTTAACATATATGTAAAGGAAACAAGTTGTAAGGTGCAGTTTAACAGGGCATACTTAAAGTCATTCCCACTTCGGTACTGTCGCATTTATAAGAGTCGGGAACACCTCTTGCACCTTTTTCAACTCCATTTTCTGGTAAAAGCTGAGCTACACTTCCTATGTTTGAAAGTGCAGCATCCAAGTTTCCTGGGAAGAAACCAGTAAATTCTCACTAGAATAAAGTCCACACTAAGGACATGGAAACAAAGACAAACCCTTCTGGTTTGAAAAGGGCATTTGCAGCTAAGGGGCTTAACTGCTGTAACTATGTCAGAATAAATGGCTACAGGGTGCCTGAAGAAACATTGTTCCTGTTTATGTCAGCTAGGGATTTTCAAAGAAGACTGAATGAAAGGTAGGACCAACCCCATAAAAGATCTGCAGGGAGGTGATCGTTTATTCTCAATTTAAAATCCCAGCAGTGGTGCTTGGTAGGTTTGAATGTCTTTGCAAAGCCTTATTGAACCGGGTTGTCAGCAGTTACCTGACATCTATTTAAGGCTACCAGAGGCAAAGACTAAACCTCTGTTGAGTGCTAAGGAAAGAGCTGTCTCAATAGGCAATTGCAGCCTGTCTGGATTCTGCCTATCATAAGTTGCCTAGTTTCTTTCCCAAGGGTTGATCACTAGCCTTCCGACTGACTCCAGCTGCTCAAGCTGCTTCCTAAGAGCGCTTACAGAACTTTCTCTTTCTATCTGGGGAAAGGCTCTCCCTCGTCCTCCTGCTCCCCTGAGCAGAGCTGCAGGGGCAGCACAGAACTGGCTGCCTTGCTCTTGCTTTTGGAACAAATTCCAGTTTACAGCCTGTCAGGGCCAGCACTTGGCAGCATTTGCAACAACACAAAATGCATCTGTTTAGCCTTGTATGTTAATTTGCTAAGGTTGACTGGGAGAGGCAGGAAACCATCCACATTTCAGTTGGAATGTCTGTTCTTTAAATCACTGCCTCGGTCCCTATGTAATATATGTCAGATACTTCGTGAATACAATACTAAAATAATCCATCATTTCCTAGAAGACAATCTCATTCCAACAGGCTTAAATATTCATCAAATGAATACAAAGACACGAGTGTCAGAGCAGAGCTCCCAGGCGGGGCTCCAAGAGCCACACACCCAGCCTCGCTTCTGGTTTGTGAAGATCTAGCTAGTGTATTATGCTGGTGTGTCATGCTTGCTCTCAATGCATGACAGTGTTCAGGATACAGGAAAAAGCATTGTGGTAACATTAGAACATTGTTTAGTGTAAGCAACTGCTGTATTTCCTGTACTAGCATTACACAACAGTTTCTTCCCTCTCGCTATTTATACTCCGTTAAAACTTTGAGGGACAGTATTTCCAAGTCTTGCCGTACTGCTTAGCTGTGGACATTCTCTCATCTGCAGGCAAAGAAAAGGGTAAAGAGGATCCATGCAGACCTCAAAGTATTCTGCTTACAAATGAGAGCTGATAAGTACTGCAATTGTAAAGAAAGCCTCTTGCAGAGAAAACAAAGTGTTGTAGCTGCATGGAACACCTAACTGGAATGTAACTCCTTGCCCATGATGCTATTGTTAAAGCTTGCATTCCTTAATTACATCACTGTTTAGAATGGTGAGGAAAAAGAAGAGTTATGAATATATGCCATGTACTTCCTGATGCATGGAAGAGAAAGAATTGACTAGATGTGCAGATATAAGGTATTTCCCAAAATATACATATCCTTCACAGTGCACAATTATTGAATATGGACATCACTTAATGGCCTGAATGGGGAAGTCAGAGTGCTTCACTTTGAAAAGTTTTGCAAATACTTGCTATACACAGCACTCTGCAAGGTAGCAACAGACTGAACATTAAACAGAATTGCTTGAGGACTGGAAACAATTTAGCACAGCAGCACAGATCTGAATACAAGCTTGTTGGCCCCTGCTAAGCTCTCTGATGCCACAACCATACAGCTTCGTCCAAGGCAAATGGGGGTATTCCTATGCTACGTTATGAAAACACGTTGCGATGCACTATTCTAAACTCCAAACTCCAATGACCTCAGGAAACATTAATTGCATCAAGATGTGAACAACTACTCACTCTGACTTGCTTGTGCTTCATTCCTCCAAGCAGAGCTGTCAAAAAGTGGAGAGAAAAAAAAAACAACAGTATCAGCAGTACTTTGATAAAGAAGAAAAAAAAAGAAAAAAGGTAGGGAAAGCATTCAGAGTGGCTTATCCCTGACAGAAGGGTCACCAGGGCTGCAGCAGTAAGCAGGGGAGAGAGACTGCCTATGCTACCAAGTGCCGAGGAAAGGCTGTCACTGGTGGGCAATGGTAGGCAAACTGGTGACCAACTATTGGTTCTTCTGTAAGTACGGCTCACTTACGGCATGTACCTTTCTTCCCGGTTTTATCAAAGCAATGGGCTACCAAGCAGTGAGATGTACAAGCAGCAGAACTGCCATCCTCTCCCACCACCTCACGTATGCTCTACTGTATACACTGCCTCCACACCTAAGCCAAGGTGGTAAGCAGACAGGCATCTAGATGCTACCCAACCAGATTTTGTAGTGCCAAAATCTAACCCTCTATGTTTTATCATCATCTGTAGCATTTTTCTACCACACAGGTGAGTTGTTAGGATAAAAGGGGCTTTGCATTACGTGAATGAGGCCCACACCCATTCCAAAAGCTTTTGGGAAAACCCTCTGTGCCCATGGCTATGTTTTGTTTGCCATTCCACTCAGATGATGTATTTCACTCAACTCTGCTCATCCCAACCTGTGTGCTTATGCCCAAGGCAGGCGCAAAATTCATAGAAACGAGACTCTGCATGCTACCAACTATCCACATATCAAACCAGATACATAGGCTTTAACTTTCCCGCTGAAAGCAAAGGGCAGGTGGGTAGCACTCACATATTCTCCAAGATTATCTTAGTCAAAAGGTTTTTCAGATTTTGGTGGAAGTTTTCTGGAAAGAGAGAGAGGATATCTTCTGCCCTCGTCAAGCCATGGTACACGACATGCCTGGTGAGGCTGTGCAAAGCGGATACCAGCTGTAGGAAAGGAAGAGGAAAAAGGGGTCCGCTGGGTTGACAAGCATTACATATGGCACGGGACAGGCCTTCCACAGCCAGGACAGACACAGCTTCTGCAGCGACAGAAGCCTTGGACACCACCAGGGCCTCGGACACCCCCGTACAGCCCGACAGCCTTAAGGTTGGAGCCGAGGTCCTCGCTGTCCTCTAGCACGCCCCCCTCGGGCACTCACCTTCTGCCTCCCTGTGAGGCCCCCCCGGGCTGCGCCTCCGTGGCGGATCGCTTCTACCCAGCACGTTTCGCTCCAGCAGCGGCCGCCGCGCTCCGCGGGAGCCCCGTGGCGCCACGAACCTTCCCGAGGGCCCGGGCCGCTCCTGACAGATCCTCCCCTCCCTCCTTCCCGCACGGCGAGGCCCACGCAAGCCGGCAGGTCCCGTCCTCCCGCTCCTTCCCTGCGTTCCGGCGCAGCGGGAGGAGGGGGCGCCGCCGAGGCAGCCCGCCGGCTGGCTCCCTCCCTCCCTCCCGCCGGGGACCCGGCGCTGCCCCGCCCGGCCCTACCTGCTCCGCTTCCTCGGGGCCGGCGGTGAGGTCGAGGCAGGCGCGCTGCGCCAGCGGGCCGAGGCCGGCAGGCGGGCTGGAGAAACACTGCCGGCACAGCTGCCGCACGGCGTCCTTCGACGGCGCCTGGCGGGGAGCAAAGCGGAGGAGAGTTGGGGGGGAGCGCTCAGCCGCGGCCCGGGAGAGGCGGCAGCCCCCGCCGCCGGGCCGGGCCGGGCGCTCCCGGCCCGCAGCAGCTCCGCGGCCCGCTCACCTTCAGCAGGCTCTGCAGGGCGGCGAAGTCCCCCTGCCGCAGCGCCGCCATCTTGGCGCTCTCAGCTGAGGCGGGCGCCGAGCCGCCCCTGAGGCGCCGCCGCCGCCATTTTGGCGCTGTCAGCTGAGGCGGGCGGGGCCGGGCGCTGTCGTTCTGCCGTGAGGGAGGGCTTCGCGTTATGGCGGGCTCGGTCCCCGGCGCCGGACTGAAGGCTTAGCAGCCTCCGCCCGCTGTCGAGCGTGTGGGAGTGCGTGTGCCTGCGGCCGGAGCCCCGCAGAGTAGTGGGCTAAATAACTGGCCTCTCCCTCTCCGATCTACTCAGTTTCTTACTGCCGGTGCAAATCTCTGCCTTGGATGCAGAATTTAGCTGTAAACGCTCTGTTTTCAGCCAGTGGGAACCGAAGGCAAAACATTTATCGTGGCACTGCTGCAATGATATAGACCATTATCTTAGTGAACTCTGTATCTTTCACTTTGTAAAGATTTAAATAAGTCTTCTTTCTGAGAGAGAAATAGTCTTCTCTTTGTCATGTGTAATTCCCAGCATATCTGGTTCCGGGGCATCTGTAATCTACGATCTTTCCCCATCACTACTTCCATCATGGCACCCCTGTTGTGGTTTAAGCCCAGAAGCTGCTCGCTCGCTCGCTCCTCCACCCCGGGGCCCTGGTAGGATAGGAGGAGAAAATAGAAAGAAACACTCATGGGTCGAGACAAGGACAGGGAGGGATCACTCACCGTTTATGGTCACGGGCAAAAGACAGGCTCAGCTTGGGGAAGAAAAAAAATCAATTTAATCTGCTACCAATCAAATCAAAACAAGGATATTAGGAAGTAAACCCCAACCTGAGAACACCTTCCCCCCCACGGTCCCTCCTTCCCGCCTCAGCCCCACTCCCG